AATGAGGACCCAGACTGTGGGAGCGATATGCTGACCCTGTAAACCGCTTAGAGAGGGCTGAAAGCCCCATGAAGCGGTATATAAATCTAACTGCTATTGCTATTGCTATATTAGAAATGGTTTTGCTACCAAAGTGACATTGGATGGACACAACCTCAAATGGACTTTGAATTGGTAGAAACAAAGAAACCTGATTTCAGAAGTGGGTGGTGTTAGGTAATCATATTCCTATTTTTTTTTAAAAAAAAATCTTATTTTAACTGAGGGTCCCTCTGTCCATTACGACCTATGGACCTGAAGTCCAATTATATATTTCATAACACATGAAGCTTTGGTAGCCTTAAAAAACTGACACAGGTAGCCAAAGCACCATCAAAAAATCTATAAAAAGTAGTTGAATGTTGGGGTTTTTTCCCCTGTTTTGTGGAAAAGTCAAATAATGAAGAACTTGCAGTCCAGTTGACTTTTTCCAGAGAGCTTGATTCAGAGCACGTGGTTTCTGGCTGACCATTTGCTCTTTTAGCTGGAAGAGATTTGGCCTTAGATCTGGAGTCCTTTGGCGTTGGCAAGGGGTAAAAGGAGTTGTCCCAGTTGGAGAAGACCTCTTGGGAAGTGTGGGATCTATTGATTAAGATAAGCGGGTGGGGGGGGAGAGAATGATTCTGATAAAAGAAAATATTTATAGCTCAGCGTTGAACTTATGGGGTCCTTGGTGGTCTCTGAACTTGGTTGTTTTCATGTACAGGTTTCATTATCCAGCTAGATCAGGGGTCTCCAACCTTGGCAATTCTAAGACTTGTGGACTTCAACTCCCAGTCCACAAGTCTTAAAGGGAGTGGAAATCCACAAGCAAAGCTGGCTGAGGAATTCTGGGAGTTAAAGTCCACAAGTCTTAAAGTTGTCAAGGTTGGAGACCCCTGAACCAGGTAACATCATCAGTTCTAGAAGGGAGGAGGGTTTATATTCTAGTGGCTTATCCTGTTAGTTGGTGAAAGTTTTCTTGATGGTTCCTTGAGCCAACAGCCTAACCAAGGAGCCACCAGACAATTCCCACCCATAACAGGGCATATACACAAATCTAGCATTCCATTCTCTGTTATACACAAACAAAGAACAGAAGCCACTCTCTTGCAGCACTGATTATGTTACCTAGTTGGGTAACATAATGTCTGCATGGAGGAAAAAAGCTCAGAGACCACCAAGGACACCACCAAAAACAAACAAACAAACAAAAAGAAATAGGAAGTTCATTCTTTTTTCATTTTCTTCCAGCAAAGTCAAATACCTGACTACGCTGAGCTGATTGTGAAGTTCCTTGACGCCTTGATCGATACCTACTTGCCTGGAATGGATGAGGAGATCAGTGAAGAGTCCCTCCTGACCCCAACATCTCCTTACCCTCCTGCGGTGCAGAGCCAGCTCAGCATTACCGCAAACCTGAACCTTTCGAATTCCATGACCTCACTTGCAACTTCCCAGCATTCCCCAGGTCAGTTCGCCATACATTTCTCAATCTGAGGTCATCCCATTCCTCTTCTGGTTTGGGCCCATCTTCCTTGGGTGGCGGGTGGTGGACCCTTCCCCTCACCCATTGCACCAGAAGTCCCCCATCTTCAGTAGATTTGGCACTCCTACTTATTTAAGGAGATCCATGAGCCTGGATTGAAGAATCAACTAATATGTTTAGTTTCCGGTGAATACATAGCCAGAACATCAGAATTGATGGTGTCCACACACTATTATTCACCTTTCCCTTGCCAGTATTTTTAAAGGTGGTGTGATATTTGGAGGAAAGATCAGCTGGTTGCACAGGTACAGAGTCACAGATTATTTTTACCTTCAAAAATATAATATTCTTGCCTAAAACCAAATTGGAACAGGGACACAGTGGCTCAGTGGCTAAGACGCTGAGCTTGTCGATCAGAAAGGTCGGCAGTTCGGATCCCTAGTGCCACGTAATGGCGTGAGCTCCCATGACTTGTCCCAGCTTCTGCCAACCTAGCAGTTTGAAAGCCCGTAAAAAATGCAAGTAGAAAAATAGGAACCACCTTTGGTGGGAAGGTAACAGCATTCTGTGCGCCTTCGGCATTTAGTCACGCCAGCCACATGATAAAGGAGACGTCTTCGGACAGCGCTGGCTCTTCAGCTTTGAAACAGAGATGAGCACTGCCCCCTAGAGTTGGG